ACACTGATTCGATTTTTGGGTCGACTGAAAAGCCAACACAGGGGCATATGTCGCGTAGACACTGATTCGATTAATTCCACCAGTGGCAGCACTTACATTCAGCTTTAAGTGGGAACGGGAATGTGCAGCCGCACATCACCGCATGAGTCCGACTGCTTTGAGTCGACTCAAAGCACACTGGCAGCGCTCATTTGAGTGCAGCGAAACATCACTGCATCATCATCATCATTATCTCACTGTCGCCTGCCTCTCATTGATCTGGCTGTCGCCTGCCCCTCATTCCAACCCACTTCTATTCCCACCCACCAGGCGCATTGACTCGCATTGACTTCTATTCCCACCCACCAGGCGCATTGACTCGCATTGACTTCTATTCCCACCCACCAGGCGCATTGACTCGCATTGACTTCTATTCCCACCCACCAGGCGCATTGACTCGCATTGACTTCTATTCCCACCCACCAGGCGCATTGACTCGCATTGACTTCTATTCCCACCCACCAGGCGCATTGACTCGCATTGACTTTCTATTCCCACCCACCAGGCGGATTGACTCGCATTGACTTCTATTCCCACCCACCAGGCGCATTGACTCGCATTGACTTCTATTCCCACCCACCAGGCGCATTGACTCGCATTGACTTCTATTCCCACCCACCAGGCGCATTGACTCGCATTGACTTCTATTCCCACCCACCAGGCGCATTGGCTCGCCAGCATCGGATGGCAGGGGCTTGCCCTTCGCCCTGCGAGCCATGGCACGGATCCTCACAGCCGGCAGTGAGGAGCAAGTGAGCAGCAATGGGTTACCGCCCCGCCACTGGTGGATCACGGATGGGCCACCAGTGGGTGGGTCGTGTTTCGATTGAGCCGACTCAAAACTAGACGGGTTACTGACGGGCCACCAACGGTCCTTCAGTGGGTCACTACTGACAGGTTGTTAAGGGATTACCAGTGCAGTGCCAAACGTATCGAGTTGCCAAACGTTTACCGTTGAGTAACTGATAGAGTACAAATGGGTCACCCATAGGACGGTGGCACCGCCATGGTGCAATTGGTGAAGTTCAGAGAATCTGAGGTGTGGTGTGTTTGCCATTGGGACCCCCCATAAGCGGACCAGCGAGAAGGAGTGGTGTGGAGTCTTTGCCATTTGGGTTCTTGCCACTCCTTCCCGTAAGTGGGAGAGTGAGACGGTGATGGTCGTACCTGTCCCACTTTGAGGTGCCTCCACTTTGAGGTGCCTCCACTTTGAGGTGCCTCCACTGTGAGGTGCCTCCACTGTGAGGTGCCTCCACGTTGAGGTGCCTCCACGTTGAGGTGCCTCCACGTTGAGGTGCCTCCACGTTGAGGTGCCTCCACGTTGAGGTGCCTCCACTTTGAGGTGCCTCCACATGGTAACAATAGTTGCAGCCATGGTAACAGCCACACCGCTTTCAGCCCTTTCCTTACCTTTCAACCCCCCCCATCCCCCCCGTCCCCATGCCAAACCCCCGCTTTCTCTCACAGCTGCAATTCCTGCGAGAAGAGGGGCGGCAGCACAGCGGCACAGTGGGCCGGCGTGTCATGAGTCTATTTTTGAATTGAATAAGAAATGTTCTCTTCCTACTCCAACGTCCCTCTTTCACTCTCAGCTGCAATTCCTGCGAGAAGAGGGGCGGCAGCACAGCGGCACGGTCGGGAGACGACCAATCAGATCGCAGCAAGGGGGCGGAAGGGCGAGAGGGGGGTGGGAGAGAGGAGGAGAGGGAGGAGGAGGAGGGGAGGTGGGTGGATTGGAGGGGTGGGAGGGCAGAGCGATGGAGCTGCTACTGTTGCTGGTGGAAGAGAGTATAGAGCACTTGATGGGTGCACGGCAGGTGAGACATAAGCGGTGCAGAGGGGTGCAGTGGGGTGCCCAGAAGAATGGCATGGCTGCTGGTGGAAATGAGAGTAGAGCACTTGATGGGTGCACAACAGGTGAGACATGAGCGGTGCATGGCAGTGACGGGAAGGGAGAGCACAGGGTGTGTGTGGCAGGTGTGTGGGGTAGCATAGCAACGAATGCTGAGGCTTGGAGGGCAGGGCGATGGAGCACTTGATAGGTGCACGACAGGAGAGAAATTAGGGGTGCATGGAAGAATTGCAAAAGAATATGCTGGAATGGATGGCATTGGGTTGCATTGGGTGGCATTGGGTTGCATTGGGTTGCATTGGGTTGCATTGGGTGGCATTGGGTTGCATTGGGTTGCATTGGGTTGCATTGGGTTGCATTGGGTTGCATTGGGTTGCATTGGGTTGCATTGGGTTGCATTGGGTTGCATTGGGTTGCATTGGGTTGCATTGGGTTGCATTGGGTTGCATTGGGTGGCATTGGGTTGCATTGGGTGGCTGGTTGCTGCTGTTGCTGGTGGGAGAACGGACAGCGCAGTTGATGGAAGGAACTCGCATGCTTTATGAATGTTGTTGAATATGTTGTTTCATTTTCACATCAATTCCTTGCAGTCATTGAAAGCTCGAGTTACCATTACTGCTGAAAACATTGGTTAATAATTATGGTATTGTAATTTCTATTGCAGGATGTGAAGCAATTGGCAGCTCATGTGGACGAAAGCAGGCAAGCCACAGCTCTGCGGATCATAGACAACCATTTGGCGGTCTTGCGTTCTGTAGCGGCATGGCTAAGGCCTCGGGCTTCCGGGGGTGGTTTGGAAGGCGTGTTCTCCAATCCAGAAGCTCGACAAAATTGGAGCTCTTTCAGATGAGACATGTTTTGCTCATTTCTGGATTGATAATTTAATTAGATATACCATGTTGCTGGTAAGGAATGCTTTTAGCTTTCTATGTAAGGTTATGACGTGGAGAATGTACCTGAAGGGAGTATACTATATGAGAGCATGCATTTTCGCTAGATTCCGAACAGCAACTTCGAGCCGAAACATTCCCCCAAGGGCACACCCTCCCTCCAGGTGGGGGGAGAAAGGAATTTCTCTTTGGCGCAGGAACTGGGGAAGGTTCCATTGTTGTCGGTGCCATCCTGCCTCAGGATGGACGGACAAGATTCACTCAGAGATTCCGAGGCACCTAATCTCATCCGTGACAGGGGAAGGTAATCTGCGGAATGTCTTCCTTCTTCAGCTCCCTCCCTGCTGTTCGTGGGGCGGGTCCTCCAATTCCCCTAAATGAAAGCGATTAACTACGATATTGTACAGTCTAAAGCGGTAGACTATCTTCACCGCTTTGAACCGTTACTTACCAGCCTGAACATGGTTGCTAAAACTGCGGCTGACCCGCCGTTATCTTCATTCACCATACTCTCTAGGTCGCGTCACGTCGCCGCCTCCCCCCTCCCTCCTCTTCCCTGCCTTGGCGTATATCAGTTTAAAATTGTTCGTGTATTGCTGCGTTGGACACAACTCAGTACAGTAACGTCATAGGAGGAAAATGTCAACTATGAATCATTTCTCGAAGCATGAGGCAGCAAGCATTCAACGACGACGGGATGCGACGGTGGCGTGGCGCGTGGTCGGATTGGAACGTCGGCGCGCGCTGCCAGCGAGGGTTCAACTTGAAAAGGAAGGAATGAAGCAGGGCAGGAGGATGGGACGGGTTCATTTGTCCGCACGCACGCTAGGGTCCTCACTCGTTGATGCATTGAAATAAGAATGCGGCTAATGCTCCGATCCGAGCGCCTCAGGCGCCTCAGCCACTTATCGGAAACCGTACGGACTGTCGTAGTAGGGGCACCGAATGTCGGCGCGCGTGTTCAGTTCAGAGCGACACAGTACATCACGATTGTACAGTGCGTTACAGTATCATCTCTTCAAGCTTCTATGAGAAGCCAGCGTAAATACTTCTCCTACTGCTGCTGTCACACCTATGTTTTAGCCTGTTCCGCTATTTGTACAAGAACCATACTTTCTATCCAGTGCGTCGCTAAACCTCTGAGCTCCCTCACAGCTTCAACCCGTGCGACTTTTGCGACGTTAGCCGTTGCGACTTCGGCGACCATCGTCTGAATCGCTGCGACATTATCGCGATCGTCGCGACCATCATGGCTGTGTCCGTCTCGACGGCGCCGCTTCCGGCACTCCCGGCGCTCATACTCATCCTCGCGAGCCTCTTCGCAGCGCACCTCGCGCCTCGCGCGGCAGCTGAACGGCCCTTCCCCGCTGTAGTCACATCTGCTGACCTCAGCTCCCCTGCGGAGTCCGCCGCGCTAGCTACAAGCACGTCGTCGTTTGTCACGCACGTGCGGCGGCAGCTGCTGTTCGAACGGTACAGCTGCGGCCGCTCGCCGCTCAAGGGATACACGTCGTCGAAGCGCCTCGCCTCTGGGTGAGCAATTTATTCTAGGGGCGCCTCACAAATGGACTTCTTTCTTCTCCGTAGGTAGAACTGCGGCAGCTCGGAGCGACTCGCCTCAAGGGATACATGTCTTATGGAAGCGACTACCCTCTGGTTGAGAAACGGTCGCAGTTACTAGCGGCTCGTCTGTCTGAGAAGCATATTCTTGCCACGTCGACTCAAAGTCCCATTCGCGTTGTACAGGGGCCTGTTTTTGTGTCAAAAGCATGTACAAGAGGGGTCCTCCTTGACACGCAGTTCACATAGCCGACGTGGCAACCCTGAGGAAGCACCTGACTCTTTACTCTCGCATCCGACTCTAACTCACCTTTTACACATGGCACGCACACGCATTTATAACATCTCCCCAGCCCCCTCTCTTTTCTTCCAGCCTCGTTCTCCTCTGAAAGGCCACAAGCGGGCGCAGTGGAAGTTGCCTTCTGGGATGGGAGGAGGGGGGAAAGGTAGGCGGGGGGGAGGGGAGGGTGTTTGTTGTAGGAGTTTTTGACAGGTTCAGAAAATATCGTTTTTATCCCCCATATTATCTCCATTTCTCCCCTTCCAGCCTCGTTCTCCACTGGAAGGCCACGAGCGGGCGCAAGATCAAAGTCGCTGTGGTGGCCTCGGGGGCGGCTGCGGGAGGGTGGTTCGCGGTGGGGTGGTCACCCAAGGGGCGCATGGACGGCAGCAACGTGGTGGCCATGGAGGATCCTGCTAACCCTCCTGGCACGTACGATCTCGAAGGGACGTCTGCTGCGAACGCTGCATCGTGGATCGTCGGATCGCCGTCAATCTCGAGTGCTGGCGGCAAGGTCACGATGAAGTGAGTGTGTGTTAAGTGTTGGGTGTTGAGTGCTCAACGCAGGAGTGGTTGCTGTGGGGTCGCTGGCCACGAGGTGGTTCAGCAGTTGGGTGTTGGGTGCTCTGCGCAGTAGTGGTTGCTGTGGGTGGGGTAGCTAGCAGTGGCACGGTTCGACATGGAGGGGGATGGATTGCAAGGGTCGCTCAGGGGACACATGGACGGCCACAATGCTGGTGCTATGGAGTTAGCTAGTATTTCCCTCCCCCAACCCTCTCCAACCCCCTCCACCCCCTTTTCTTGTATGTACAACTTGGAAAGGGTTTTTGAGTGGATGAGCCGCACGTTGTTACAGAGGGCAGAAAAGGATGTTAAATCGTTTAGTTAATTTCTCATTGCTGATTGTGGGTGTGTCATTCCGTGGTGTTGTATTCTGAGTGCAGGTTTACCAAGAACAAGGGGGATGGTGCATCTGTGAAGGTGAATGCTAATGGCAACAACAATATTGTGTGGGCGTATGGCGATGGCACTGCTGTTTCCACACATACCAACCGGTAAGCTCCTCCTCACTGTGTGGTCTGTTGTGTTGTGTTGCTGTGATCGTTCTGAGATCTTGAAATTGCTCATTCTATTTCAAGCAGCTGTTATTTGTTGTCATAAAACACTTTGTGTAAGCTTCTTCCCCACTCGTTGGTTGTCCTTGTGTGCAGCGGAAATGTGGTTGTGAATTTTGCATGTGGCTGCCCTTTGTTCAGAAACTGCTGATTGTTTTCAGGATAATGCCTTAGAAAATTTGTCAGCCCAGATTGTATCTCCATACTTATCAGTTAATGGCACCAGTTTGCTCTGACAACCTGCCTCAGCGTAGCGGGATTAGTGATATATCAGGTCAATGACTTCACCTTTAAATGTAAAGAATAGGAGTGAAATATGTACCCTGAAGGGAGCATACTATATGAGATCGTGTGTTCCCAAGTTTACTAGCACCCCCACGCGCGCCCCTAGAGGCTCTCTCCCCCCGCCGAACCCCGCCCCTCTCCCCGCCCCAACTCTCCCCTCCTCCGCACACCACCCTCCCCCACCACTCCCCCTTCCTTTTCCACGCCCGTCCCCTCCCGGCCCGCCAATGGTGAATCTTCGCGCGGAGAAGGACACGATTCATTCGTTCGGAGATGTTCGGAGGCATCAAATGTTTGACAGGGGAAGGTGAATCTGCTGGATGCGCTCCTTCAGCCTTTTTGTGCTTGGCGCGGGTCCTCTTATTCAACTCAACTCAAGCGGTTAACTACGGTATAGTGCACTCCAGAACGGTTCGAAGTTTTTACCACTTTAAACCGTTACTTACCAGCCCGAACAGTTGATCTATTAACAAAAAAAGTAGAGCTCATCTGTACGGCTGTCCCACCCTTACCTTCTCATCTGTGTCACACATTAGTTGTACAGCAGCTGCTCCATAGCCCGCCTCCCCCGTTCCCTCCTCTTCTCTGCCTTCCCGTACATCTGTCCGCAGTATTCTTGCTGCGTTGGATACCAGTCAGTGACGTCTAGAAGCAAATGCGAATCATGAATCATTCGTCATTTCTCGAAACATGAGGCAGCGAGCATTCCACGATGACACGACGATGGCGTTGCGCGTGGTCCGATCGGATAGTTGGCGCTTGCTGTACTGTCAACGAGGTTTGACCTTGAAAAGAAAGGAAGGATGCAAGGGCAATAGGATGGGACGGGTTTATTCGTCCGCACGCCTCTTTTCGGAGCCGAACGCTTTTCGCGGCATCTGCGCGTATCATGTAGTATCACACACCACACATTTGAGAACCGTACAGCACCCGGCACGGCACAGGACCGCATACCTCTCCCCGCTCGGTGCAGCACAAGCGAAGGTGCTGTGTAACGTGTTGAATGCGGGCGAACCCCAGTGAAGGTGGTTGCAGCTTCAAACGCAGTGCCGTCTTGTCCTGGGTGAACGAGCACCTTCGAAGCTGGACAAGCAGAGATAACGAGCGGAGATAAACTGTACCGCATCAGGTGCCGTGCCGTGCTGGGTGCGTCTAATGTACATCCCCGCTCGTCCGCCCTCTCCGTTCAACGCTCGCGCTAACGCGAAGAAGCATGTCATTACACGTCAGACATCACGCGATGATGGACTGTCGGAAATTAATCAGCATGAGCGGGCGGCTCTCCTCCGTACGGATTGTCGTAGGGGCACCGAATGTCGGCGCGCGTGTTCAGTACGATGTGCGGAAGCTTCGTAGAGAAGCGGGAAAAGCCTGCTTTGAGAAGCCAGCGTAATGCTGCTCTCATTGCGGCTATCGCACCTATTTTAAGCCTGTTCCGCTACTATCATAACAATCTTACTTACTATCCTGTGCGTCGCTAAAGCTCTGAGCTCCCCCACTCAGCCTCAACCCGTGCCACGCTTGCAACGATCGCCGTGCGACGTCGGCGACCATCGTCCAGGTCGCTGCGACTTCATTGCGACGACCATCATGGTTGTGTTTGTCTTGTCGCCGCCGCGACAGCGCCTCGCCCTCCAACAAGCGCCGCTCTCGGCGCTCATGCTGCTCCTCGCGAGCCTCTTCGCGGCGCACCTCGCGCCTCGCGCGGCGGCTGAACGGCCCTTTCCCGGACCCCCCGCTGTATTCACATCTGCTGACTCGCTGAGCTCCTCCCCGGCGCCCGTTACAGGCACGCCGTCGTTTGTCACGCACGTGCGGCGACAGCTACTGTTCGAACGGTACAGCTGCGGCCGCTCGCCGCTCAAGGGATACACGTCATCGAAGCGACTCGCCTCTGGGTGAGCAAGCGATGTCTTGCGCTCGTCTGACTCAAGTCCTTTCTCGAACCATGATGCACACGCGCTTCCATACCCTCCCCATCTCTTTCTGAGGCCCCTTAAGAAATAAACCCATCTTCTTGAACCATGGCGCACACACACATTTCCGTATCTCCTCATCTCCTTGCTTCCCTTCCAGCATTTTTCAGTGCAGTAAAGGCCAGCAACACACTTTGGAAGTTGCTGTAGTTGTTTCTAAGGATGGTTGCACGAGGAAAGGGGGAAGGGTGAGCAAGGGAGGGGAGACCCGACGTGGGGTAAATCACCCTAGGGGCTCATGAAACCCTCTTTTCTCTTCATCCCTCTCTCTCTCTCTCTCTCTCTCTCTCTCTCTCTCTCTCTCTCTCTCTCTCTCTCTCTCTCACTCTCTCTCTCTCTCTCTCTCTCTCTCTCTCTCTCTCTCTCTCTCTCTCTCCGCCTTTCCAGCCTCGTTCTCCACTGGAAGGCCACGAGCGGGCGCAAGATCAAAGTCGCTGTGGTGGCCTCGGGGGCGGCTTTGGGGGGGTGGTTCGCAGTGGGGTGGTCACCCAAGGGGCGCATGGACGGCAGCAACGTGGTTACATTGGAGAATTTCAACAGTACTATTGGCACGTACGACCTCCAAGGGACATCCGCTGCGAACATTGCGTGGTGGTATATCGACTCGCCGACAATCTCGGTTGTTGGCAGCCAGGTCACACTGGAGTGAGTGCTCTCTCGGGTGTCGGGTGTCGGGTGTCGGGTGTCGGGTGTCGGGTGTCGGGTGTCGGGTGTTGGGTGTCGGGTGTCGGGTGTCGGGTGTTGGGTGTTGGGTGTCGGGTGTCGGGTGTTGGGTGTTGGGTGTTGGGTGTTGGGTGTGGGTGTCGGGTGTCGGGTGTTGGGTGTCGGGTGTTGGGTGTCGGGTGTCGGGTGTTGGGTGTTGGGTGTTGGGTGTCGGGTGTTGGGTGTCGGGTGTTGGGTGTCGGGTGTTGGGTGCCCAAACCAGGTGTGGTTGCGATGGGATGGGTTGCCGTTGGATGGGTAGCCGTTGGATGGGTAGCTGCTGGATGGGTAGCCGTTGGATTGCTAGTCGTTGGATGGCTAGCAGTGGAATGGTCCAGCAACGGGGGGTTGGATTGCAATGGTCGCATTGGAGTCACATGGACAGCCGCAATGCCAGTGCCATGGAATAAGGTAGTAGCCCCCTTTCCCTGACCCCCCGCTCTCACCTTCTCCCCTGCCTTCTCCACGTTGTATGTACGACTTGGGAAGGGGCTTTAAGTGGACGCCGCTGCACATGTTACCTGTTGGGCTGGAAATAATCGAAGAGTAGTGAAGGACGTTGAGTTGCCTCAGTCTATTCCCACTAGGGGTTGTCCGTGTGGGTTTGTCCTAATGTGGTGTTGTATGTTTTGAGTGCAGGTTTACCAAGAACAAGGGGGATGGTGCATCTGTGAAGGTGAATGCTAATGGCAACAACAATATTGTGTGGGCGTATGGCGATGGCACTGCAGTTTCCACACATACCAACCGGTAAGCCCCTCACCTTGCCATGTGTTCTGCTGAGTATTCTTTTGTGTAGCTATGAAATTTCATGGATCTCGTTACACATTTATTGAGCTTCTCGCCCCCTTCTTGGTGTTCCTTTTGTGCAGTGGGAATGCGGTTGTAAATTTTGCATGTGGGTGCCCTCTTTTCAGAAACTGCTGATGAACTTGTGTGGAGTGGCAGTGTAGTACATGATGCCTCAATTTAGTAGAGTTTGTATCTGAAAAGCTAGCGCTATAATATGTGCGTGTACTGAGAATAGTACATAACAATAGAACATTTTTCTCCACAAGCACTGCTTAGTGTATCGGGTTCAATTGTACATTCAGGCCACCCACCTGCGGTCCGCCTGGCAGCGAACTGTGGTCGGTCATTTGGCGACAAGATGGTTCTGGAACTTCAATGTAACTTTGCTCTCATCGCGATCGCGTAACAGACACTGAGTCTGCTTCGGAGCCTGACGATGTTCGTGAATCTGCTTTGTTCGGAGCCACAACCTGACGGCTCTCGCACAACCCGTCGCAGCCGCAGCAGCCTCGACAGCAACCTGTGGTTGTGCGAATTCGTTATTACACGGGAAACGGAAAACCGCGCTTAGATGATTAGGCATTACAGCACGGTTGAAAACGTTATGGCTCGTAAACAACTGGAAACCTTTCGGTTCCGCCACATCGCGACAATGCCGTTTGTGTACCCTCTCGCTGCTCAGAAACACCAGAAATGCAGTCTAATTACCCCTGCAGCAGCATCTGTTACTACCAAGCAGATTAGTTGCGAGCTGTGTGATACTGTGAGTAAGCGCGGATCCGCTCAGCGGTAGAGAGGCATCGTGTTGTAGTACAGCGCCATCCGCATCTCGTTAGTGTCACGTATCGTAAGTTTCGTGCAGGTTGCGTACTGTTAGTCGCTCTCAGTTGTCGTCAAAATCCGTCGTCCCTTACTAGAACTAGCTTGTCCACAGTGCATACCCACACAACCCGCGACGCTCGGGAGAAATGTCAGACGGACTGTCACAACGACGGTGAAACTACCAGCTTATTCGAAATAAGGTCCCTGCATATTACGGCCATGGCGGTACCAGCAACACGTAGATTTCCCCATCGGAGCCCCACAGCGCTCCTGCTTCCGCTTGCGGTGCTGACGCTTGTCGCCGTTTCGGAATGCGCGAGACTAGTCCCCTATGACGAACCCGTGTCGACTGCGACCAGCACCTTCTCAACGACTCAAATGCCAGTTCCTCTCAACGACTCGTCTTCTTCCTCCTCTTCCTCCGCCCTTTCTCTTTCCTCCACCTCCTCCGCGTTCATCCCTCCTTCCTCCGCTTCTTCCTCGGCCGAGTCGCACGATGACGTGGAAGAGCTAGACGCTGACGTGTCGGCTCCGCGGCGCATGATGCTCGCGCCCGGTTGGATGCTTTGGCGAATGGCGAACTCCAATAGATGTAACCCGTCGTCGCTCAGTGGCTACACATCCAGCCGCAAGCTCGGCAACGGGTACGTGCGCGGACGATGGGGTAACGGGCATGTGTCCGGGCGATGGGGCGACTAACGGGTTTAGCGCGCGCGGTGACAGAAGCAGCGGCGGGGTTCGGTAGGGTGGTCACTCAAGGGCGGCTTGGACGGGAGCAACGTGGTCGCGCGCGAGGTGGAGAAAGACAGGTGTATGGGGTGTATCCTCGCCTGGCCTCCCCTCCCCCCCCACACCCCACCACCAGCCTCGTGCTGCACTGGAAAGCCACGACGGGCAAGAAACTGAGAGTCGCGGTGGTGGCGCGCGCGGGGACAGAGGCGGCGGCGGCGGGGTGGTTCGCCGTGGGGTGGTCCCCCAAGGGGGGCATGGACGGGAGTAACGTGGTTGCGCGCGAGGCGGAGAAAGAGAAAGGGGCGGAGATGCTGAGATAGATCCTGTTTCTTATCCCGCCTGCCCTCCCCTTCCCCGTACCCCACCCCCAACTCCAACCCCTTCCCCCCACCCTGCCATCAGCCTTGTGCTTCACTGGAAAGCCACGTCGGGCAAGAGGTTGCGGGTGGCGGTGGTGGCGCGCGCGGGGACAGAGGCGGCGGCGGCGGGGTGGTTCGCCGTGGGGTGGTCCCCGAAGGGGGGCATGGACGGGAGTAACGTGGTCGCGCGCGAGGCGGACAGCGCGCCCATCGCGTACGACCTGAGCGGAAACGAGGACGCGACGGAAGCGCGCACGTGGGTGGCGCAGGACGCTTCGGTAGAGCACACGGATAGAGGGATTATTATGAGGTGAGTGCCGTCGTGTACGGTTGGGAGGAAGACAGTGCGTTTCTGAGGATGTGAGTGTGGTTGGTTTGACACGAGTCAGGAGAGTTGCCCCATCGCGTTTGACCTGAGCGGGAACGCGGATGAGACAGTGTCGCGGACTTGTGGTGGGGGGGTAGGCGCTTCGGTAGAGCACATCGGAAACGGAATGATTATGAGGTGAGCGAGGAAGGTTGGTAGAGAGTGAGTGCGGTTGGGAGAGAGTTAGAGCGGTTGGTTTGAGACGTCTCAGCGCAACGCCCCCCCCATCGCGTATGACGTGCGCGGACGCAGGGAGGCGAGAACGTGGGGAGTTGAGGAGAAGATTCGTATGTAGGAAGGGAATTATCATGCGGTGGGGATGGGTTGAGAGGGGTGGTTGTGTTGTGGTGTGGAGCGTTGGGGGGAAGTGAGTGTGATTATGAGTTTGTTTTTCATGTGTCTGTATGTATATATGCATGTATACAGTAATTATCCATGTATACATAAAACAAATATATATGTTGTATATCGTTATGTCACTCACCCCTCGCCACGCCACACCATGCAGGTTCACGCGCACCAAGGGCGACGGGTCATCAGTGGGCATCAAGACGTGGGAGGGCTTTAACTACATCGTGTTCGCCTATGGCATGGGCACCACCATCGGGGACCACCAGTACAGGTGTGTACGTGCTGTGTGCTCGCTCCCTTGTTTTCACAGACATGGCTGCATGTGCTTGTGCTGCGTGCTTTATGGTGTATGGCTGTGACCACGTCGTGCTCGCCTATGGCCTGGGCACCACCATTGGGGACCACCAGTAAGGGTGCCCTGCCCACACGCTGTGTGCTTTCTGGGTGTGCTTCAAGTCGACTAAAAGCACACCTGGACCACCAGTACAGGTGCCCTACCCACATGCTGTGTGCTTTCTGGGTGTGTTTCAAGTCGACTAAAAGCACACCTGGACCACCAGTACAGGTGCCCTACCCACATGCTGTGTGCTTTCTGGTGTATGGGCTCTCATGAATCCTCTCACCGCTGACGTGTGAAAGTAGGGATGAGCAAAAATCCGGGCTGGGCCCGGCCCGGGTCGGGCCGGCCCGGAATTGCCCCGGGCCGGGCCTCAGATTTTGGGTTTCGGCCCGTAGCGGGCCGGGCCGGTCCGGCCCGGCGGGCAGCCGGCGGCCCGACTTTGGCCCGCCAATTTCGGGCCGGGCCGGGCCGGCCCGTCGCGAAGCGCGGCCCGGGTCGGGCTGTTCTGGCCCGCCTATTTCCCCTGGGACAATCCGCTTAGTGAACTCTACTTATAAGCTAATATTGTGCTGGTCGAGTAAACCCTACGAGTTGTCGACTAGATCTGAGGGCAACAAATGCGGCCTGATCTAGTCGACCTAGGTTGGAAATTGATGGGGTGGTTGGATATTCTAGATTCAGTGCGGTGCAATCCGGTTTTTGTTGGGTTTTGTTGGCATAATTTGAGATTTGAGTCAATTTCGTCAAATCTCAATCACGCGGGGATTTGACCCCCCACCAAATGTCGCGGGGGTCAAATTTGAGCTGCGCGACAGTTTGCGCAAGCTCTTACGCAAGCTGGCCCCTAGCTTCTCGCCATGTAAAGATCCCACCTAGCCCGTTCTCCTAGCTTATACTCTATCTCTCAGTAGTTAGAGTTAGTTAACCGTTTTAGAGTAATGGTTATATGGTAGGGTGACGAAGTAGTGCGTTTTAGCTTAGATTAGGTTAAGATATAAGGGATTCCGTTTTCGAGAATCATATGTGACTTTATCAAAAGTGCACCCGGGCCGGGCCGGGCCCGGCCCGGGTCGGGCCTTGCTTGGCCCGGGTCGGGCCACCCTGGCCCGAGTACAAAATTGGCGGGCTCGGGCCAGGGTCTTGGTCATTCGGCCCGGGTCGGGCCGGGCCTGGCCCGGCCCGGATTTTTGCCTGGCCCGGCCCGGCCCGGCCCGTGCCCGTGTGAAAGTGGGGGAGACTTTTGAGACGTCTCAAGACTCAGGTGCGCACATGCTGTGTGTTTGCTTTCTGGTGTGCGGGCTCCCTTCAATCCCTCCCACCGTTGAGTTGAGGTGTGAGAGTGGGGGAGACTTTTGAGTCGGTCTCAAAAGTCCGGTGCGCACATGCTGTGTGCTTGCTTTCACGTGTGAGTGTGGGGTGGGGCGAGGGCTTTAACTACATTGTGTTGCATTGGCATGGGCAGCACCATTGGGATCACGAGTACAGGTGTGCGGGTACCACTCCTTGCCACTCCTTGCCACTCCTTGCCACTCCTTGCCACTCATTGAGCACGATGCTGATTGTCTTCACCTGTGGCTGTGGCTTGACGCCTCATCCCCCCTCTACACCGCCCTCCTCTTTCGCCAACTCCCCCTTTACATCGCACCCCTCTTTACAGGAACACGATGCTCATTGACTTCACGTGTGGCTGTGGCTTGCTGCCTCACCCCCGCATCACCTCTCTCCCCTTCTACACTGTCCCCCCTCTACAGGAACACGATGCTCATTGACTTTACGTGTGGCTGTGGCTTGCTGCGCTTCCGCTGCTGACATGGTTTGGGTTGGGGGCAATCATCGTGATTGTCGATGCTGACTTGCAAATTGACGGATTTAGCAGCAGCAGCAGCAGCAGCAGCAGCTTCAGCAGCAGCAGCAGCAGCAGCAGCAGCATTCTATTCAGGCTGTCAGGAGATTTGTCATACCAATACTATTTAGTGGAGATGGTATATAGGCACCTATTTTAATAACGGGATGGCATTACTGGGCTTCTAACAATAACGCCCTGCAGTGGGGTGGACTTCTTGCCATTACTTTGCCAAAATTACGGTAGCTGTGTACAGTCAGTTCATATGAGTAAAAATCAGAGTAGAGGTGTTTCACAAATGGCACTCATTGCTTGGTATATTGAAAGGAACTGCTGTAGCATCATGTTTATGTACAGAAACTGTTTATTATTTAGCAGTCCATGTAACCCAGTAGTAGTGAACTGCTTGTGATGGGCCATGCAAAATGCAAAATGCTTGTGTGGCTTGGTGCTGTGCGGTATCTCGGTACTGTTTCAGTGTTTTCAATAGAAGTATTTGTGTACAGTGTAGTTCATGTCACGTGCATCATCAGCACACCTTGAAGAATAGCACCCAGCATCCATTGCAGGAGAAATCTATTGAGGTTGTACCCCTGTGAGAGAAAGAAGAAGGCGGAGTTATTATAATGAAAAATTATGGAGTTTTGTAATGAATAACCAATGTGCAGAACCATGTAGACACATGGAAGGGGAAAAATAAAGCACCAAGTTGCTCATCACTGCACTGTTTCTCTCCCATACCCACCATGCATTCCCCATACCACTGTTTCCTGATTCACATACGATACTCGTCATCCCATCTCGACAGCAACCCCCATGCATCTCCCATACCCACCATGCATCTCCCATACACACCATGCATATCCCATACACACCATGCATCTCCCATACACACCATGCATCTCCCATACACACCATGCATCTCCCATACGCACCATGCATCTCCCATACACACCATGCATCTCCCATACCAACCATGCATCTCCCATACCCGCCATCCATCTCCCATACCCACCATGCATCTCCCATACCCCCCACCATGCATCTCCCATACCAAACATGCATCTTACCATCTCCATATCCCATACCCATCTCCCCATACCCATCTTCCCACATTCCGCCCCTACTTCGCATCATGCTGCGCAATGGTAGACCACGAATCCCCCCATACGCTCACACCATCTGCGACCGCCCATACTCCCACACCCATCTCCATACTCTCATATTCAGCTTTCAGTAACCATCTCCCATCCCCACATCACATCCCCCCTACCTCGCATTATGCTGCGCAGTGGTAGATCAAGCATCCCCCCATACACTCACACCATCTGAGCTTCTCCACGTTCCCAAAACCATCTCCACACCCCCAAACCCATCTCGATACCCCCACATCTCCCAATGCCATGTCTCCCCCCCTACCTCGCATTATGCTGCGCGGTGGTAGACCAAGCATCCGCCCCATACGCCCACAACATCTGACCATCTCCTTAGCCTCATACCAATTATCATACCCCCAGACGCATCTCCACCCCCACATCTCCCTTACCTCCCGTCATGCTGCGCGGTGGTGGACCAAGCATCAGCGCCATACGCCCACACCATCTGCGACCACCCGTGAGGCATCACTGCAACATGCCATACCCATTCCCATATCCCATCCTCTGCTGCTCAAATCCCCCCCCTGTTACCTCGCGTCATGCTGGGCCGTGGTGGACCAAGCATCTGCCCCATACGCCCACACCACACCCATCTCCACACACCTATATTCATCTCCCATCCCCAAATCCCCCCTTACCTCGCGTCATGCTGCGCGGTGGTGGACCAAGCATCTGCCCCATACGCCCACACCATCTCACACCACCCCCCACCCATCTCCATCCCCACATCTCCCCTACCTCGCGTCATGCTGCGCGGTGGTGGACCAAGCATCTGCCCCATACGCCCACACCATCTGCGACCGTCCTCGAGGCTTCACTGCAACTTCCCCACCATCGCCAGACGATCTCGAGAACCTGCCAACAGTCGCCAAACGGTGGTTAACGGTGGTCAGAGTTGGTCAGCGGTGGTCAACCATGGACAAGAGCGGCCAACAGTGGTTAATGGGGGTTAGCATGGGTCAACCGTGCTTCAAAGTGGTTGTAAACTTGCTGAACAATTCGAGGCGCCAAGAACAGACAGCAAACTGGCATCACCTATTTTTGAGGTTGATAATTTCTCCAACACTCACTTCATAACAGTGCCGTGCGAGCTTGTAGTCTCAATTGAAGGAGACCCTATAGCGAAGCTCGTTGTAGCGTGGACGTTTGAATACCCGTCCAGAAAGAACCTCCCCGGGGTGTTGCTGCTGGGAACCCGCACAACCGCGTCTGATCCGCTCATTTGCCCGTCCGGCGTCCACCCTATAGCGAACCAGCTCTTAGCGGAGACACTCCCTGCCTTCGCCTGAAGCGCGAGTCGCAGGGTGGACCCGGTTGTAGCCGCCCAATGAAGGGTTAGCCTGGAAAACGACAAAGAAGATGGGGCGGTGCGGACAAGAGGTGGAAGGGAGCAGATTAATTTCAGAGAGCCACGAGTGACCGTGACTGGATAGGTTCGGTGACTCATGCGTGAATGGATAGGTTCGGTGACTCATGCGTGAATGGATAGGTTCGGTGACTCATGCGTGAATGGATAGGTATGCGTGAATGGATCGGTTCGAAGACTCATGCGTGACAGGTTCGGTGACTCATGCGTGAATGGACGATTGAGATTTTCAAAAGCTACTCCCGCCTAGGGGGAGACGTGATACGGCGAGTTTTGAATCGACTCAAGAGTCACCGCGTGAACTCTCGAACGCAACTCAGCATATGTGGAGACGGTGATTAGCCGAGGAGGACGGGCGGACCTGGGGATGATACTAGTAACAAGTTTTTGCGGAACACGAGAGAGTTGGGATGTGCTCGTACACGATATAGAGCGGCTTGGGTCGTCTGACACCGCAACGATGTGACAATTGGGCCTTCAGCAGCAAGTGGAAAGCGACTCGTTCTTACCAGGCATAGAGCCGACAGAATGACTTTTGCGTCGAGTATAAAAGTTAAGGACTGCGGGTGGTCCGACCATACGTATGAGTCATACGTACCCGCCGCCGAACGACTTGCGTCGTGAGAATGACAACGAGCTGATGACAAGTCGAGTCAAGAAGGAAAGAAAAAAGGGGTCGGAAGAGCGTTCGCGTACCCGCCATAGAACGACTTGGAAGTAGTAAATCCGGGGAGGCTGGACGGCTGGCATCGGCGGAACGCGCCAAGCAGGTTGCGCAGCTGCGGCGGAACAGCACTCGCGGAACGCGCGGGGGGCGCGCTTTGAGTCGCCCCGGGAAGAGCAGTATGTGTAGCTTCAGGGGAGCGCGCGGAATGCGCGCAGGGCGGGTGCGCGAGCAGCACAAGAAGCGGAAGCGCCAGACAGAAGAGGGAAAGGCGGTTGGCGGGGGATGATTGCGGTCGCGCGGAAAGGCGGCGGTAGTAGCTGGGCGGAACGAATAGAGGTGCGCTTGGAGGTGCTTTTCTACTAGTAGAGCTCGGAGAGTCTATTCGTAATAGGGGGTAAGCAATGGAGGAGGTACGGAGGTCTAAACCTGTCGCACGGCGACAGCCGCCGTTCGAGAACCTCTCCTTCGCACAGCACGTTTTTGTCGCATGGCGACGGCCTTCTCTGCCCGTCTGCGACAGCATCCTGTCGCTCGCGTCGATAAAAGCTTGGCCTTCCGCCGATGTCGATGCTCACTAGATTCCCTACTTCCTCGAGGTGCGGCCCGCGCCTGCCTGCCGTCTCTCTCCACCGATAATTTCGATAGACCGTTGCCGCGCTCCGCGCCGCGCTTTTCCGTGAACGAAACGTCCTATACTCGATGAGGAGACGTTTGCAAAATATCCTTGCCGTCGTTACTGCGATCTACTATCCTGAGCAGAATCCAGAGAGCTAGCACCTAGTTTTCAGTGTGTCCGAACCAGGGGTCAAATCGAAATTTGAGACGTCCTCAGCATACTCTAGGAAGCTAGCTCATTAGAAGACGAGCTGACAGCTGTTCGCACCTTAGCTGCTCCGGTGTTTGCAATGACTTCTGCTGCTGCTGCTGAGGCTGTTATCCTGGCTGCCGCTGCTACTTCTAAGCGAGGGGTATTGACGGCCGGGGCTGATAAGCAGCGCCTCGGTGCTGACTGCCCACCGACTTGGGGAAACGCAACCACCAACAGCAGAGCAGAGCTGGGACATGTCACATGGGCAACGTGGGGCCTGCGTCGGTGCTTCAAGGGTTTGCGGTGAAATGCGGTGTTGTGGGATGGGATGGGAGCGCCAGATGGTATAGTGCAAAGCAAATTAGGGAGCGTTCACATTCAAGAAATTTAAACGACACATTGCACACGTTCAGGTGTCAGCAAAACGCACGAAGGGTCGACGTTCGTGGTTCTGAGCCTAGCTTCAGTTGGGCGCCCTAGGTTTTTGAAAACGAGTGGTGGTGGTAGGGTGTTGAAAGACGCAAGATTTTTATGCCGCCTATAATATGAGCACGTTCACCAACCCCAGTCAAATGTAATCCTGGAACCGCGCAAATGCACAGCGCATTTGCCTGCTGGTTGTCGTGGATTTTGAGACCCACCGTGCCACGTATTCGGTTGGTACACCGTTAACGACATCGCATTCATGTATATTTCAAGTAATAAAATTTATGAGACACACTTACGTGAGCCTTCAAATTGATGAGGCCACATTCTGAGGTAGTTTCATTAGTTTAACCTATGGCGATGGGGTATATAAAGGCATCTGCATGATATAGGCCTGTTGAAGATAGATCAAATATTCATACCACTTCTACATGGTGGTGTTAAATACCACATTGATAAGAGAACATGCCTTTCCAAAAGTAATGCACACCAGCTTCAATATTCATGTTGATACATGAGAAAGCACAATGAGGCCACACACATTCTACCAGAACACAAATATACAAACCTCAACGCACACGCATAGCCCATGTTCACGGCTCATAATGCAACACCCACGGGAGGTGGATGGATAAAAGCTACTGCCGGGTTAGGCAGTAAGTTAGAAGCTTACGCCTTGCAAAACATGAAGCTAAGAGGTCCTTTGCATGGGTTGCAACCCAGGTTAACCTTGACAATGACACTGCCACCATGAACCAGGAACAACGCAACAAAAAACATATTAACAACAGAGTCAGTCGCAATGAGTGGATGTGGTTGTAACCTGCAGCTTGGAAATCTGAAAGCATAATGTAGAGGGACCCCCATACACTACAGTGTATTAATCCGTGTGTCATGCTCCCATAACATTATTATACTTACTCTTCGTCATGCTCCACGCCGGTGTCGAACTTATCGGACTTCACGACAAACATGAGGGTGTTTTTCCCCTTGGGTTTAATAGATACAGACCCACCATCCCCCACCTTCCGTTGAAACCTGAAAATAGGAGGGGGAGGGGGAAGAGGCAAATGATTAGATCCAATTTGTTTAGTAACTTTATTCGGAATTCTTTAACCGGAAGATCGGAGCGCGTCGCATTCAAATTCACTTCCCGTTTCGTACAACCGCGTGGCCCCAACTTGGAGTTGTTAATTAAAGACACACGTCTCAGAGTCGAACAATTTGAGTTTGCGTTTGGGTCGAATGCATCAGCGCGACGCGGCTTACTTGAGAGACGACGGCCCGCCGCTCTTTTTCTTGAGCGTCAGCACGTCGGGACTCCACGAAGCATCCGCGACTCCGCTCGTCGACGCCCCCGTGAGAGCCAAAACCTTGGGAGTTGACGATTCGCTCGTAACCGCGAATGCGTCGCCCGTCATTTCGCCGTCATCGGAGAATCCGACGGCGTACCAGCCCTTGCTGCGGTGTTTGTTGCCTTTCAGGAGGAAATTAACGGTGTCTTTATCGACGACCTTCCAATGGAGGCTCACGCTGTAGAAAAATAGCAGGACCAGGAGACGGACTTCAGATACGTCGTGACGACGTCTTGTCAACACGGAACGGCACAGGGATCAGTTACAACATCTGAACAATATTGCGGCGAAGGACGAGGATCGAAGCTTACCCTTTGACTGGGGACACTACTGAAGTGTACCCTTTGACAGACGAGAACGAGCATCCCTGAATCAGCGCCGGAAGCGACGCGAACATAATGAGGACGGCGAAGACACGCATTGTGGTAGTGGTCGTTGTCGCCGTATTGATATTCCGTGAGCATTCCATTGTGAAGACTTCTTCGGAAATGAGGAGCCCCCCGATTTGCACAGCAGAAGGAATTGCGAGACGGCTCTTGAACGACGAAGTTGCGAGCAGGGATGGGCTTCGGTCCGTGATGCGTTGTCAGGTGCGAGTGGCGGCAGGGGTTGGGAGTGACAGTCCCGGTGGGTTGTGGCGGGGGGGCGGGAGGCTGGATGAACGAGATGGGAGAAATGCGAGGACGGGGGAACTGGTGGGGGACTCAATCGCGATGCCGTTTTTGTACTGAACTGGGAAGGGCAAGGTACACAGCGGGAGCTTGGGATAGGCTTGGTTGGCTTGGGAGGCTGGGCTGTGAAGAGACGAAGAACGGCGGCGCGCGCCAAACCAGACCAAACCAGCTGGTTTGGAAGGGCTTTCTTGACTACGGGCAGATGATGGAGCAAAATTGACGAAATCGCGCGCATCGGCGGAAATCGTGTTTGTCTCAAAAGAATCGACCCAAATTGCTCCCCGCTCGCCACGTGGGCGTTTTTCTCAATTGATTCGACCCCCTTTCCCCCGGCCCACCCCGTTTTTCCCGCCCTTGCCCTCCGAAATTCGGGCACCCGCTGGAATTTCGTGAAATCACAAAAAGTCACGAATACATGCTTTTTACATCATGCCAAATCCACCATGTAGTTGTGGTATGCCACATCAGCTTTCGCAATCGAAAATTTTGGCGGTTGCTTCTCAATCTCAGGAGGCTCATATGCACGTTGATTGTATCGTATTTTTTTGGATTAGCCCACGCCAGTAATGTAGATAAGGGCGCAAAAAAAAAAACACATGACAAATCAACCTACAGTTTCTTTATGTTTTCTATATATCTACATGAAGCTTATTCCAGAAAACTTAAAAAACTAAGAGCTAAATTTCATAAATTTTTAATTATAATAGCTCCACGGCAAATAAAAATAAATCTCTTTTGAAATAGGTATATATTTTGTTTTATTTTACTTCTTGATATTATTTAGAATAAAAATTTTTACTCGTATTACAAATATTAAAAAAATATGTTACTGCAGTGGCACATAATTAATAAAATCCATATTACTGCTAAATTTATCATTAGAAGTCATAGGTGTTCTGTCCAATCAGATGTCGCTCGCATGTTGAAATCTTAGCGTTACGAAAAAACATGTATTCGTGACGTTTTGTGATTTCACGAGATTCTAGCGGGTGCCCGAGTTTCGGAGGGCAAGGGCAGGAAAAACGGGGTGGGGGGGCGGGGGGAAAGGGGGTCGAATCAATTGAGAAAAACGCCCACGTGGCGAGCGGGGAGCAATTTGGGTCGATTCTTTTGAGACAAACACGATTTCCGCCGATGCGCGAGATCTCGCCAGCAAAATTGTTATACAGTTCCATGTGCAACCCAAAGCATGAACTTTCAGGTTGTACGGAAGTTGAAAATACAGTTTGGCTGCATCTTCTGAAGGTTTGGAGCCTTGACAAGGAAACATGGGCTTCCCTGATGGGCTGGAAATCAGATGACGCACCCAGCTACGGGAAGTCAAACCAAGGCTTGGAATTGAGGCAAACTAAAAGAGGTGGTTTGGTTGATCCGTGCGTGGTACAGAATGAACCTTTGTGTTCCGAGCCTACCCAGAGCACGCCTACACCATACACAAACCACGCCTACTCCACCACACAAGCGCAACCGCGCGGCGGACTTTAATTTTCAAGTTGTACAGAGGTGGTTTAGGGCTTGGTATGAGTGGCTCGAAGTGTACATCTTGATATTGTAACATCCAACACTTATCAAGGTTCTAGGAATGGAGAAGCACACGCTCTGAACCCGTTTCCCCAGGAAAAAAAAACACCGCACATATTGAATGTTGTCGAATGAGGCAGTGGTAGGCCTTATCAAAAGTCACTTGGGCTGCACACCCTGAAGGAATGTGATACGACGTTCGGTCCGTCGATTTCCCAAATGGTTCAAACGTCCCCTAACAGACGGCCTCGATCTATCTTTAAGAATGGGCACATCAAGGGGGTGCAGCAAACGCACAGCACACCCATTGCGTGTGGAACGTCGCACGCACGACGATGCATGCACCAACCGTCGTAGAGTTCAACAACCGCTATTGCTAAACTGAACTTGACTTCTGCACTATATTGAGTTTTCCTAGAAACACAGAACACTGCCGCACTTACGAAACACGGGTAACAATGTCTAAGCATAATTTCATCCTTCCTCTGGGCTACCAATATGGTTGCTGCGCATATGTGAGCATTCCTTGTGCCAGGATGTATTTCTCCCAACACAAATCACTAGGAACTGAGCTAGACAGTATGAATGGAATATATCATATATGATACGCTTGGTCCTTGTAGTGCACATCTAACCAGACCGCATACATTCAGAGAGGGAAGCTCCAATGAACTTGAATTTTGTTTACACTGTCAAGACCGCCCTTTTCTCTGAGCCGACGTGATCCCCACAGCACTCCCTTCGGTAACAGCCCTCACTGTTGAGAGTCGCTTTCTCCGTGCGGGCGAGGACAGGGGCAATGAAACTCACACATAGCTCTGCACCAATAGAACACGGGATTGCCTTACAAGGTGAGCCAGCTTATAGCATCCCCTCCATGCTCCCGCTTCCATTCCATTCGGCCTGTCATTTCTTGTCACTTTCTTTCCCCTCTTGATTTCTTCCCCTTCGTTCCTGTTCCCTCCCTTGCCTTGCCTTGCCTCTCAATATCGTGACACTGGTACTCCTAGATGGATGTTGTATAATGCGAGTTGAGTTTGATGTGCACATGCACTAAACCGTATGTATACAATGCTCCAAACGAATGCATCATACCGTATTACATGTTCACACAATATGGAGACCGTGTCCGCCTATATGTGTAGCTAGAACTTTCGAGTCGCCATCACCAGTGGCAAAACAATTCAGCCTGGCCTCCTATTTGGAGGTGCAAACCGTTTTTGGAGCAGTTAACGTAGCTACGTATGAGTGACAGAAGTTTTTGTTTACGACAAAACGCCCCAGATTGGCCAGCTGCTATTATTCTTCAACGCCTCGCACCAAAGCGCCTATCAACGCGCCCGGACGGTTAATTGAACGTCTGGCAGAGCACCTTGCGGACGACGCCCGAGCAGCCATTGCAAGAGAGGTCAACCACGGCATGGCCGCTGCACGTGAGGGGAAGGAAGAGAGGGAAGGAAGAGAGGGAAGGGAGGGAAATTGAGAAGGGGAGCAGAGAGGAGAGAGGGAGGAGCGGGGTGCGGAGGAAGGTGGTAGAGAACCGCGGTCTTACGGCATGAAGCGTCAGAGAAATCAAGAATCATTCTTGATGATTCTACTAAGTCAAAATAAATATCAAGGGCTTGCAAGGGGAGGTGCACGTACGAAAAGGCGTGGCGGGTGGATCCCGACCACGTGGTCTTTGCGGAGGCCCACGTGGCAGGTGTTTTCAGAGAATTTTAGCGTCTATCAAGAGCTTGTAAGGGGTGCACGTACGAGAAGGCGTGGCGGGTGGACCCCGACCACGTGGTCTTGGCGAAGGCCCACGTGATGTAGTTGTTGCCCGAGGGGTTCAGCGCTACCTCCCCGCCGTCCGACGTCGTGCGAGTGAACCTGCGCGCATACGAAAAGGGTAACCGGATTACAGACGGTTAGCGGAAGGCCCACGTGATGTAGTTGTTACCCAAGAGCTTTTGTGGCACCTCTCCGCCGTTCGACAGGGCTTGCGCGCGCGACCGAAACAGGGTAACCGGATTACAGGAGCGTTGGTAACCTCTCAATTCCAACCAGACGGGTCGATTGCACTGCAGCTATGGCGCTTCTTACTTCGATTTACTCGACGGCTGTACCCGTGCCAGTCGTGCTTGTACCCGTGACGGGATGCTCACATGATGGTGGTGTTATGCGTGCCTTCGGTACTTACTCGATGGTGGTACCCGAGGGGGTCTTAACAATCTTCAGTCCCGTCGGCGCCCACCCAGTCGCGTCGGTCGCGCTGCTGTGGCCGTCGAGCGTCAGCAGCTTGGGCGCGCCGGCGCTCATGCTTTCCGCGATGATCGCATCGCCGTTCATCTTGCCGTCCTTGGAAAAGCCGACGCCGAACCACCCCTTCCCCGTCCCGCCGGGGCCCTTGGTCATGTGGAACGCGAATTTGATCGTGTTGCTGTCGACCTTCCTCCAGTGCAGATGCACGCTGGTGGAAGGGTCGGGGGGGAGTTGATGGGGATGGTACGAGATGGAGAGGAAAGGGGAGGAAAGAAGCGAGTGATTATGGTGAGGGACGAGAGGTGGGAAGCACGTTGCTAGAGTTTATTGAAAGGTTAGAAGAGTTTCTTGTGAAGGCTTGTGTGCGGATTGTTTCACGTCGTCATTCCACATTCTGAACGAGGAAAAGCACTAACTTGGGATAGACGAGGAACGATGACGTGTAGTCGCCCAAGCTCGACCACCCGCACTTGCGCAGTATCTGGCCTGGCACGAACGGTTTTTTCACCACCTTCCCGGCACTCGCGCCGTGAGAGGCGGCGAGGACGATGAGAGCCGTCGCGAAGAGGACGAGAGGCAGAGCGCGTGACGCGCTTCGAGGAGCCATAGCGGACCGAAAGCGGGAGTAGGTTTGGAAGACGGAGAGCGGGCGTGGGCGAGCTAGCCGCAGGGGCGGTGAGTGGGCGTTTGATAATATGGGTTATGAGTAGACACTAGACACGCCGAGACTAGTAGTGTCGGTTGGTAATTTCGATGGCGTAGAAAGGATGTGTGTGGAGTGGCGTCGGTAAGCGGAGGTGTGTGACTAGGGGTGTAGAGAAGGGTGGTATAAATAGCTGACTATGGCACGAGAGGCGCATCGGGCTTGATATCCACCGACAGCGGCGGGGTCGGGTGATAATGCGTTGAAATTCCACGCCGACATGGACGGCGGGCGCGCCCGCCAAAATCATAAGCCGTCTAACGGCGACGTCTCGCTCGCTCAGCTATCAGTTATCTCGTGGGAGTGTACGGTAGTCACGTGCAGGTGCCAGCTGTAACTTTCGTGCGCTGTGGTGCGTGTGCAGTGCAGAGCACAATGCGTTGTTCAGGGAAGTGAAAGATGGGGACAACAAGTGCAGAAATGTCGGGATGAGAAATGGCGAGGATGAGATGTCGTGAAATACGCGCTTCGTGAATTTCTGTCGAGTCGCGATGCTGAGCACGAGGTTTTGATGCGATTGGTTGATAAAGGGGACCTTGACGAAGTGTGGTGTGCGTGTGTGGAGTGGAGCGAATTGCTGTTGCCTAGCGAATGGCATGCGCGGGTTGATGACAAGAGAGCTCATGCAACGGTTCTCGAGATTGAATCGTGATTGTGATATGAGTTGAATGCAATAGAGGGTACAGAAGAAAAATAAAAGCACCCACATAAACAGGATTGAAGATAATTCTGCCTTACCCACATGTTTGCTCGTCTACATGGACCTTTGCCCTTTCTAGTCATCCATCTTCTTCTCGTTCGTATCTTCTCTCCTGAGCTCTTAAACGTCTTAATTCCATCTCTAACATGGCCGTATTATTACCATCCATGTGTTTCCAGCGTGTAAAGTCTGTAATCACATCGCAACTATATTCTTTGCTATCTTTTTTGTTGTGTTTGGGTGTAGTTTTTGTTAGTTTGGTCAATCCATAAAAAAATCAACACAACTGCCCCACCTGCCATCCCAAACCCATGCCTGCCTTTGCCACTATATGTGCCTCCCTTTGCCTTTTGCTGGCACCCATACATCTCTAACGGCAACCAGGTTCTCACAAGCTTGCTGGTGATCGATGCTGTTATGAGTTGTAAGAATGAAGAGTGCGCAGAATGCAATATCGCGGAAGTGATTACAACTACTGATCGAACAACGAGGCCTAGGCACAATATAGCAAAGCTAGCTAGGCCGAGGTCGCGGAGTCGCGCGAAGGTTGGGTGCAGGTTTGGGGTTGGAAAACCCGAAGGCGACGCGGTTGACGTTCGGAAGGCGAGGTCGTCGGACCTTGTTAGAATCTAGCAGCAGGAATGGATGAACTAACAGGATGCAGGAGTACAAGTAGTAAACCCTAACTAGGTTGTACCCCATATGGGCTACCCCACTACAGCCTAGACAATATGCAGCACATATAGTTTGACACACCCCCATAGGCAAAGTGGGGGAGAACAAGGGGTCACACGACCAGTCAAGAGAAGCAAAACAAGCTCAGGGTGGATCACAACGTCACCACGCATTCTGAGCACAAGCAAAGGGCCACTGGGCCAGTTCACATGCAGAGATATATATGCAGCAATAACAGTACAGTGATGGCTACCTAGCAAGAGCCAGCATGCATATATATATATATATATATATATATATATATATGTACAGATCACAGTACAAGCAGAGACTACAGCAAGTGTGGAAACGTAGGCACAAGGCCTAACAGAGTACAAAAGCGCTGATGATCACCAGACGGAAGTGCCTTGGTGAATATGTCAGCAGTGTTGGCCCGAGTGGCCACGTGGCGAAGACGAAGCTGGCCTCGCTACTGCAACTCTCGAGCCAGGAAGTACCGCAGAGCAATGTGCTTCGTTCTGTGCTCCAGTCTGTGCTCCTCACACAAGGCAATGGCGGCCTTGTTGTCGACGTACAGCACTGGAGGAGAACGAGGCTGCTCTCCCAAGTCAGTCAGCAGGTAGGTGAGCCAACGTAACTCCTGTGCAGCCATGGCGGTGGCGTAGATCTCAGCCTCACAACTGGAGCCGAGAACTGAAGTCGAGCGTGTAGAACGCCACGAAACTGAACCAGAGCCAAGGCTGAAGGTGTAACCCTGTGACGACCGCTGAGTAGCCAGGTCGTCAACCCAAGAAGCGTCTGAGTGCCCAGTGAGGACAACTGGGCTCGTCCCTCCAAGCACTAGCCCCATGCCTAATGTGCTGCACAAGTAACGCAGTACCCTCTTAGCAGCAGCCATGTGCTCAGGTCGGTGCCGACCAGGAGCCACGTAGCGAGCCAGGAGACCAAGAGGGTACGCGAGGTCAGGTCGAGTGCAAGTCATCAGGTACATGAGGCAGCCGACTAGCTCTGGGTAAGGACCACTCGGCTCTACGGACTCGTCCGAAGGTGGAGCTGAGAGCGTGTGACCTGTAGCCAGAGGAGTGGCCTGTGCTGAAGACCAGGTGAAGCCGAAGCGCTGAAGGACCTGCTGCACCATGTGTGACTGAGTCAAGGTGATGGTGCGACGTGCTCTGTCTCGGGTGATCTGCAAGCCAAGGTAGCTGCGCAGCTCACCCAAGTCTGTGCACGTGTGTCTCTTCTGCAGCTCCGACTTCACGTGGGCGAGAGCCTCAGTGTCAGAAGTGGCAAAAACCAAGTCGTCGACATACACGAGGATGTAGAACGGCGGCAGGGAAGTGTCGGTGCGCAGAAACAGCGACGGGTCAGCAGTAGAAGGCGCAAACCCAAGAGCCGCAAGCGTAGTCCTCAGTGTGTCGTGCCACTCACGTGGCGCCTGGCGGAGACCGTAGACCGGCCGCCGGAGGCTCCACTGGGTACCAGGAGGGAACGACCCAGTGAAGCCCGGGGGGCGGCGCAGCCAGATCTCCTCGTGCAGGCTACCCTGCAGGAAAGCTGTGCTGAAGTCAAGAGAGTGAAGCTCGTAGTCACGGTGAGCAGCAACGTGCAGCAGCACCCGAAGAGTGGTCATCTTCGGAGTGGGGGAGAAGGTCTGGAAGAAGTCAACTCCCTCTCGCTGACTGAAGCCTCGAGCCACGTAACGCGCCTTGAAGACAGGCGGAGAACCCGGCGGCCGCTTCACCCTGAAAATCCACATGCCACTGACGATGTTCGCCCCAGGTGGGGGAACCTCGTCAACGTAGGTGCCTGTGGACTTCCAGGAAGCCATCTCTGCGTCCATGGCTGCCTGCCTACCTGCCGGCCTGCCTGCCTGCCTGCCTGCCTGCCTGCTTGCTTGCCTGCCTGCCGCGCCTGCCTTTCCTGCGCTACTGCTACTGGCAGGTGGCCAGATGCAGCTCCAGCGACATTCACGCGAGCCTCTGACGCCTCAGCAGCTTAGTGAGTGGTATACTAGCTGGGGTTGTCGCGGTAGCCGTCGTAGCTGTCGCCCTGGAGCTGGTCAGTTGGGAGCGTCTGGCAGTGGCCAGCTGCAGCTGCAGGGACGTCCACGTGAGACACTTACGCCCCGGCAGCTCCAGGAGTGGTACGCTCAGTGTAGCAGGTCTACGCGTACAGTCCGCTGCCCGTACGTCATTCGCACAGGTGCTAGGACTGGTCAGCCTTGTGGGACGCTTGGTCACACACAGTCCCGCTGCTTCGCCCGTCTGAGCGACGACTGGCGCACAGTGTTTGGCGACGAGGCTGAGCTCCCCACCTGGCTGGAGCTGCATAGACAGAGGGTAGATATCTTTGCGCTTGACTATGATGCTATTCTCACTGCCATGTATGCATTGTCTACTAGTGCTGACCGTGCCTGTTGCCTGTGCGTACCGCCTGACCCTGGTGAGGCTGCTGCCCTAGGTGCTAGTGCGTCTCCTGCTCTAGGTGCTGGTGAGGCTGCTGCTCTCGGTGCTAGTACGTCTACTGCTCTAGGTACTGGTGAGGCCGTGGCATCAGGTGCTGCTGTGTCTGCTCGCTCTGATACCATGTTAGAATCTAGCAGCAGGAATGGATGAACTAACAGGATGCAGGAGTACAAGTAGTAAACCCTAACTAGGTTGTACCCCATATGGGCTACCCCACTACAGCCTAGACAATATGCAGCACATATAGTTTGACAGACCTGTTGGGCTGAGAAAAGCCCTTAGGATCTTTGCGGGGGTAAAACTCCGGTAGGACTATGTAATAGCGGAAGCGTATTAGTGGAGAATTTGTGAACCACCTTGCGCTGGTATATGAGGGCAAAGTAAGTTGATTATAGCAAAGGGATACAAGAATATATAGAAGATTACAAGGAATACGAAAGGATATAGTTGTAACTACTTTTGCTGTTGCGGTTCGATACAGTGACGACTCGGGCAACTGCTCTGTAACGAGTCAGTTGTGTGTCCTTGCTGTCGCGCTGCACTTGTCAGGTCAAAGGTCGCTTGACCTTTGACTTTCGCGTAACCTCCAGCAACCTCTTTTAACCTCCGAGGGTTGACTCGCGGGTGCTTCGACATGGCGTGCTTCGCTTCTGGTGTGGTGTTTCGACACGACAGAGGCGTTTACAATTTATTGTTTCCAACACTCCCCTTCGCTTCTGGAGTGTCGCTCTTGATGACGTGGCTTTGTCCAGTCAGCAACATGCAGTACTCGAATTTCTGCTTCCCGAGCTTCTTGGTCAAATAGTCGGCTGCCATCTCGGACGTGGGACAGTATGACAGTTCGAGTCTCCCCTTCTCGATCTCGTCTTTCACGAAGAAATAGCGCAGGGCGATGTGTTTCGTCCTGTTCGCGAAGCCGTTCTTGTTGGCAATGCGGATTGCCGACTGGTTGTCGCAGAACAGTGTGAAGTTGGGTAACTCGGCTAACTTCGCTTCTTCCAGCAGCTCGCGAAGGTAAAGGCCTTCCTTGGTGGCTGAGCAGAGTGCTATATATTCTGCTTCGG